AGGATAAGAGTGTGTAATATCTCTTAAACACCAACTTGGTTTATCCATCCCTGATTTTTCTCCCATTTCATACCTCCCCATTTCTCCTCTTAATCTCACTCTTTTCTCCCATTAAAAACACCCAAAAGAACTCCTTTATCATCTCCATATATTTCCAAGCCATTTCCCCACAAAACACCCTTTTTCCTGCCCAGAATTCTGCCCAACAATCGATTATCTTGATTGACAATCGATTATCCATCATCGTTGAAACACCTGCAGCCCTCAATAATCGACTGTCCACTTTAGACAATCGATTATCACTTCCTCTTGAAATCCTGCAGTCTCTAACAGTCGATTATCACTCTTTGTCAGTCGACTATCTTCTCCTCCTGAATTCCCTTGGAATAAGCTGCGAGCCTCAATAATCGATTATCATATGCCGATAATCGACTATTTGCTTTCCCTGAAGTTCCTGGGTTTTAGCAGCACAGCTCCACAATCGATTATCACCTGGCCATAATCGATTATCATCTGCTCCTGAACCCTGAACTCAAGCTGCATCATCCCTTAATTCCTTCTCAAAATAACAACTCGTTAAGACCCCCGGTTCGGGTATAACATTTGGTATCAGAGCTTCTTGTTCCTACATCCCAAAGGACCAAGAACACACTTCCATTCTTTCTCCTTTCCTTCATCATCATTCCGACCAACCCCCAGCCATAAAAACCACAACCACCTTCCTTTTAAAAACCATGTCTCACATCCTTCAAAGCTTGCTCTAGGAAGACATTGCTGCTGACCAAAGGAAGCTAAAGAAAGATCTTGATCTTTTGATGTCAAAGATTGGAGAGTTCACCAATTCAGAGGATATTCCGACCTTAGAGGGAAGACATGATCCGGAGAAGTTCCTACGGTGGCTCAAGAAGGTTGAACATATCCTAATCCTCAAGGATATGCCCGAAGGCAAAATGGTCAAGCTTGTAGCATCCAGTTTCCAACGAAACGCTTCCACTTGGTGGACAAACATTTCCACTAAGAGAAAGTTCGAAGGAAAACCCAAAGTGCAAACTTGGGAGAAAATGAGGAAGCTGTTGATCAAGAGATTTTTGCCAAGGGATTACCATCACATGGTTCCCTCAAGCCCCTTTAAAACTCATACCC